ATGATGGCTAGAAGAGTCCCAGTGGTTTGCGCCCTGCTGGGTGCGGCGAAAGCAGCTTCCTGCCCTTGGACGGAGGATTGGGAGTGGCAAGGCGCATTCCACGCCCATGAGGGCGGCATGTTGCTTTGGAGTGTTCCATGGCATCGATTGGCGAGCGTCAGGGGGGCCGGCGGGTGGCTGGTGAATGCTGCTTGAACACGGTTCACGCACTTCCAACCAACAGGTTTGATTTTCGAATTCTTGCATGCAAACAAGAACATGCCATCAGACGCAAGTGGATACAGCTCATAATTTGTTGGAGACCAAGGAAGGAACGGCTGCTCCAAGTGTTTGTTTCCAGTGCATGTGATGTCCTTGCACAGGTCCTCCTGGTCAGTTTTCGTTTTGTGTCCGTGGAGCCACCGGACAGGTGCAACCCAATTCTGACATGATTGAAACCATGCTCCACGTGTCAATCTCCAAACTTAGCATGTCATGTTCATCTTTTTCCCTGGGACATTTGTGCAAAGGGTACATAGTTGTTTGATGTGACCATTGGTGGGCCTTGATTGTTGGCAGTCGCCCTGCCATTGGCTACGGTTCCTTGGAATGTACTTGTTGGGCTTGCGGTATCTAGAGTTTAGGCTTTAAGCGTTGATTCTCCCTGTTGAGCTCGGCTTTTGAAATTTAGGGTTCAGGTTTTGAGGGTTGTAGTGCTTAGGTTTGTGTACAGGGCCTTGGTTTGAATGCAATGTTCTGCCGGTTTTGACGTGTGGAGCTAGAGCGCCATGTTGGGTTTGAATCACCTCGCAGGCGCTTTCTGGACGGGTCGCCTCTTCGATTGCTTTGAACCAAAAGGCACATTTGAACCTGCTGTCCCGAAACAGAACCATGCTAGCGTTCATGACGCTGAGTAGCCGACAGATGGAAAGGCGAAAATATAAGAAACAACTTGTCTTCAGATTTGTCTTTCTTTCTATCATTGCGCCGTGTGCAGCCTAAGTACATTGCTGAGTAACCAATGCCTGCTGGACAAGTGGTCCTCAGAAATATCAGAAATCTTTTCCATCTTCCGGCCCGTCGGAGTCGCAGAAATGGGTGGTTGAGGGGGGACTTTAAGTTTGTTGTTTTGGGAAAACAAGATTGGCGATTTCTCAGGTCAGGGGATAGAGACAGCCTCAATCTTTGTGATGCTTGTTTTGGGATCTCTGTTGTTTGACGCGACTGATGTGTGAATTCGTCTACATTCACTTGTGCGGATTATATGTTTAAATGATTCGCAGGCAGTCAAATCTGCCAAACGCCCAGGCAGAGAAAGCGCCAGGCGCCTATGCGGATGCCGACGGCTCAGGCCCAAAGGCGTGCAGGGTGATGTTGAGCATCCGTTTCCGTGGGTCCTGTCCAAAATGCTGCGCCGGGGCGTGGGGGTTCAGTCTCGCGCAACCTTTGCCAACCTTGCCCTGGCTGTTTTGTGGTCAACTTTTGAGGGCTTGGTGTGCCCTTTTAGGAGGTCCAAGTCGGAAAAAACCACGGAAGCGGCACAAAGGGGCGATACAACCTTTCTGAGAACAGAACAAAAGGGTGCCCGCCTTCCACTCGGAGAGGCCCACACAATCACGCGCAAGGGAAGCTAACTGCTGACTCCCGTTACGACCAGGGTCTTTCCTAATTGGGACATTGACAAGCTTAGCACCGATCAGCTGGATGACCCAATGTTAAGTGGCGGGACTTGCCCAAGGACAATGTGGCGTCACAACGCGGCAACCACAACAGGTGAAACGTTACGACCCCCCCCGCTTGTGGGGATTTGTGGGGGTCTAAAACGAAGCACTACCACTGAGAGGGTCATCCATCTAGGGTTGCTGCTGGCGTTCCTCACCCAAGGTGTCCGGATCTGACATCACCCAAATGTTCCATCCAAGGCGTCAATGCGGATGGTGATCCGCAGTGTCAGCAGCGCGAATGAAGCCGGGGTTGAGGCCGCACACCAGGCGCCAGTCAGCAGGAAGCGGAGAAGTTAGGGTAGCCAGCTCAAGAAACAAATCCTCAAGAGAATAGCCAAAAAAAAAAAACACGGCAAAGACCAGCGGGGGCCTTTGCTTTGTGTGGGTTTTTTGAGCATGGGGATCCCGCAGGCCGCGCACGACAGTTGGAGCAACAGCACAGAGGTGCTGCCTGGCGCTGTGCTGAGCCCGGCCCACAGACCGCAAGGTATCCCAAGGTGAGGTGTTCCCCTTAAGCCGCCTATCGACTCCAAGCTTCCCCTGAAGTCATTGGTGAGCAACCTGCTCCTATCGCAAGGTGAAACCCTCTGGAGAAAGTACTTCATCCCCCCAAAGCACAACTACAGCCTGGACTACAGCATGCTGGTTAGTCGCGGATACCTTTGCCAGCTTTTTGGAGCGGATCCTCCAGGTCCGATATGGGTTTTGGCCGTGGAGACCGCCAAGCTGACGGCTTATACCCACCACGCGGGTTGAAGACCCTGGCCATGTGCGGCATGGGGAATGCCACCCTTGGATGGGTCGCAGTAGTGCTGCTTCAGCGTCCAGCTGATTGCCTGATGCCTTCTGTGTGAGGCCTTCGACAACCAAACTCTGTAACGTCCGAATGGCCTTGGGCTTTAAGTTCTTCTCTGGGTGGGCAACATTTTGCAGGACATCGCAGAGTTTCAGGCGAAGTGCAGATTGGGATGAAGAAGGCAAACCACCCCCTACGTTGCAGCTGCTCCTGTTCATTAGTTCTCCTTACTTTTGCACCTCCCTTCCCTTAACCTCAGCTGATCGCGATCTTCGATGAAGTGGCCGGCCAAGTGCTGCGCAGGTTAGTTTGGTTGCCATGTTGGGCAGAAGCTGTGCCATTTTTGCACATCTCCCCCCTTTTGGAAGAGGAGCACCAGAAAGATTCCAGTTTTCGCAGCTCAGCGGCAAACTGTGTCAAGGCCCAGACAATGCCTACACCCTGAAGTTTGACGCAGATTCCTGGGCAGGGAGACCTAGCGCCATTCAAATGTCTGAGATGCTGCAACGAGTTGCTTTGCCCAACCTAGTTCGAATGCTCGTTGCTTTTCCAGCTCAAACTGCATGCGGGACAGCCCAGCAATAAGTAAATAAATGTGGATATTAGATATTTATAGCTATAACATAGCATATCTCTACATTACATGCATACGTGGCACTACGGGCAGGTCTTTGGCCGTTCGCTCGTTCTTATTGTTGCGTGGCTGGGCTGTCTGGGGCTTGGGCGTTGTGAAACGAACAGTCTGAGTCGGCAATTGCTTGAGGACTGGCGACTTGCCGCACGAGCAAGAAACAAATGACTTACCCTGACAGCGCCTCATGCGATGCCATGGTTTACGCCGGCTTTGGGCAAATTATGTGTTGAGCTATTCTGATACAATCGTGTTGGTATCCAATCCTGAAACACACACGCACATGTATATACATATGTGTACATATGTCCATGCCACGCATTGACACACAGAATGACTTTCGGAGCATGTTCAACTCGCCTGGCGGACCAAAACAAACCGTGAGGGCTGTGTAGACTTGAACGCCCTGCACTTTCGCAAGCATGGCTCAGGGGGATGCTAGTTTACCAGTCATCTCTAAGCATGGGGATATGAGGCGTAGTCCTCATAGTCCTCAGGCGCCTGTATGCGCTCGACCCCTGATATCCTCTTGCAAATGATTCTGGAGGACATGTTGGTCAATGTCACATTTGGTTTACTGAATTTCTCCCCTAGACAGTGTGCGAGCCAAACACTGCACCTCAATTCGCCGCCTTGGTGTTGGAACGCCGAACAGGCTGTGGCAACAACCATGGCTGCTTTTCATCGCATTTTGGAATAGCTGGCAACGTTGCATGCAACAGCTTTTTGGTTCTGGTTATGTTCAGTGCGTTTGAATTGGGTGGGCCCCCGCTGTCTTCCCACACAGAGTTTGAAATGTTGATCTGAGGTGAGCTTTTTCAAGATTGAGGTGGAGGCTGAGGCGAACATCGCCATCTTCACTGAGCATCTTCCGAAAGCGCCTTGGCCTAGTCTTCCATCGCCTCTTGGGGTCGTAGAGCTACTGGGTTTTGTTTCACGCTGGCACTTTGCTCCTGACCTCGCTCGGAGCTGAAGCGAGCTCATCCGTGATAACGTGCTGCTTCCTGTTTCAGTTGTGTTTGCCCCGGTTGATGACTGTGATGGGTTGAACACATGGTTTATTCCTTACTCTCTTCCGGCCTTGTGCGGAAACAGTCAGGTTGCGACGTTCATAGGTACAAAGAGGTTTCTCATTGGTTTTCTGTCACCGGCGCCTGGGCGGTCAATTTGGGCCTGCTTGCCACCAGCGCAAGCAGCAGCATGGTGAAGCCTCTGGATCTCGTTGAATTTGTTCGGGAGGGAATAAGATTCTGGTGAGGGCGCCAAAAGAATGCTTGACTGCCAAGGTAAAGAACGCGCCTTATTTCTCTCTGTGGCTTTTGTTGGTCTCATCTTTCTCTGGCTCCTTGTCTAAAGCGGCGCGAGGGGTCAACAGTATCAGCAGCTGGCCCATGCAAAGGCAAACCAAAGGGAACCCCCCCTTTTTTGGGGGGGTCCTCTAGAAAAAGACACTCCCAAATCATCAGTTTTTTCTACCGGCCTATGTTCCTAGCAAGGAATTCGAGTCTCGCGTCCACTACCTTATCAACGACCACGGGGAGGAAGTGCAGCCCGCCTTCCAGGAGGGACCGTTGCGCTTTTGAGAACCCAGACAAATTGGCCAAGACATGCGAAGCTGCAAGTTGATGGAAGTTGATGTTAAAGAGCTGAAAGGGGACCAGCGCTTTGTCGCTGGGAAGCTTCTGGAGAGCCTATGGAGTTTGTGCAGGAGTCCTCGGAATCTTGTTCCAGCCCAACCACTTCAGGCGTGGGACGGCCGAAGGGCTAGCTTGCATGATACCCGATGTCCTGACAGGCGTCCTTTTTAAGGACCTTCCAGCAGGGGAGTCCTCTTTCTCAGAAGCCTCTCAGATATTCCTTGCAGAACCTGGTTGCTCTTGGAAGTTGACGAAAGTGACAGCTGCGCCACTTACAAGCAAGCGCAAACGTTTCTTCTTTGAGGTCAGAGGCCCAACCCTTGGCAATTGCTTTCTACGTAGCCATCATGTGTTTAGGGCTGTCTTGCATGATTATACGTGTGACACATTTGGGTACCGGGGTGTATACGCAATACCTCTGATATTTGTATGGATGGCAGCGGTTGCGAGTTGTAGCGCTTACCATGGTGATCATGTTGTAAACAGCGCATTGGCCACTTACAAAGCCCATCTCTCATGTAGCTTTCCTGTTTGCCATTGTGACATCGTACGACTCTCGGGCGCAGATAGTAAAAAAATCGTTGGCGGGTACTCCAGTGGGCGACCAAATGTGCGCGCAGATGGGTTTTGGCAAGGCTATGCACCTTCTTGTGGATTGGACCTTCTGGGCGGGAGTTCTTGTTTTTCCTGCGCACACTAGCCTGCGCCTCCTGGAACGTTGGGCGGGCCACCCGCCTTGTGCTGTCTGCTGAGCTGCTTGTGCTGGTGCGGCCATGGTTGGACGCTTGACTTCGGAATGGCGGAAAGGAGGTTCTTTTTCCGTCTCTCCTTTGTGCATTCTTTGCCCCAGGCTACGCTGGCAGTCTCTCGTGTACTCGTTTGAAGCGGATTCGGCTTGCGTCAAATTGACACAGCGACGGAGGGCTTGCGCTGTGATTCCGAGCGATCTAATTGGAGATGCATGTTAGCATGTCCAATTCCTATCATGTGTGTGTGTGTGTGTGTGTGCGTGCCTTGTTGCGTACCCGGCTGCGAAACCCTTGAAACTTCCTCTTTACCAGGGCCAAAGGTGCTCGAGCTTTGACCAATTTCTGCAGGTAGCACCGACCGGACCGGAGAGGTCATTGCGGCGCCAGAAGCCCCAGGGTGACATCGGGTGACATGGGGATTTGTGGCAAACCACGCACGGCCAGTTGTTCGTTGTGTTTCTGATCTTGAACTTATTGGTTCTTTGGTTGCCTGGCTGTGCGCGCGTCTGTGCGTTCGCCAAGACGCCCAGGGTTGGGAAGGAGTGCCTAAACGAGCCGGTGAGATCAAAGGGAAGCCAACATGAAGCTCTTGTCGATTGAGGGTTTAGCTGATTTTGACATAGCTTTCAAAAGTCTACACAGTGCTTGATCTATGCATGGGTCCGGATCCATTACAAAGGGTTGGTGCCAGATTGAGCAACTATGAAACTGAAGTTGACTAACGATAACTTGTCAACTTTTTGGCAGGAGGTCCAAGCATGTCCAAGCCTTGTCAAGCATGGAGTTGCAAACTAGCTTGACAACAACAGAACATTGTGATTTTGCAAGCGGGGGCCCGCATTCGCCGCCTTTTTTTCCGGGATCCTCAGCAGCATGACCGGCAATCGCTGCAACATGAGCATCAGAGGCATACAGCAAGTGTGCTATCGGCCGTGAGCATCTGTTCAAACAAGGAACCCTATAGGGCGCGCACCGCCAGCGCTACCAGCACCAGCGTTGCCGGCCAAAGCATGCATGCTAAACACGTTTTTTTTTTTTTTTTTTTTTTTTTTTCGTGTTCCCAGGTAGACTGGTAAAGTGCTGGCTGATGAATGTGGATGAGTGCGGTTCAGTTCGTGGTGTTGTCAAGCCATAGAGGTTGCGCTCTTTGAACATTGTCTTGATGATGCATATTATTTGTAAAATGCGAACATGCTACTCAGCCTTCTTCATCAAGTGCCGTGTATATACTCGGATTGAAGGATCTCCTACCAACAGTCTGCTCCCACCTTTTCTCGGCCGATCTCGCTCTCCGCCGATCTCGGAGCAAGATCGGCTGTTTTATTGCTGTTTGTCAGGTTCCTTAGTATCAGTCTTGTTGCGAGCGTCAGTCTATGGCTGAATGAAGTGTTTAACCCATAAACATAGAGCATCCCGGTGCCTGTTTCATGTTGCTCGCCCGAACCCTCCCAGCAGCCATTTGCAAGCACGGGCTGCTGTTTTTCTGATCGCCCACGCCCGCCCAAAACCCGCCTTCGGTGATGGTCCTAGGGCGCTGGTGATGATGCTGCCAAGCCTTCTGGGTGCGCTGGCGCTGGTGTTCGCTTGCCCAGGCGCAGGGAGGCCCAGAGCCGGTGAGACGCCAGCGTGTCGCATTCAAGTGGTCCTCATTTGATCCAGCATTGATTCTGTGGCCGAAGTGGGGCCCAAAGCTGACGCATGCTGACGCCACTATTGCGGGGAACCCACTTTGTACGTTGAACTCGCATTTTGGAAGCCGCTTCAGTGGGTATCCCAGGTGCTGGGCTTGTTTCATCAGCTCCTCCACTTCATGAACGCGGCTGCCTCCGGCATCCTCTTCTCCTTTGCCCTCTTTTTGCTCTTGCCCGAGGCGGGCTGTGACTCGGGGTTGCAACCCAGAAAGCAGGCAGCAATGTTGCACTTCTGGAAAGTACGAAAGATGCAAGTATGCAAGGTGCATGTGCGTATCTAGGATCACGCAATGTTCAGCCAGGGTAATGAAAGGCCTGTCATTTGTTTACGTCACGTTTTGGTTTTTTTTTTTGTCATACTATGCTATGGTGTGCCTTGGTTATGTGTTTCGCAATTTATTGTTCAGCTACAACAGCTATGGAATGTTATGCCATGCATGTGATGCATCCATGAACCAATTGGCCAGCTAGCTGAGGAGCTCACTTGCGAATTGGCAACCAGCTATAGTAAACTATCGGCCAAAACGTATTTGCCCGCGACCGCCCGGAAGCGGGTCCCCAAGACCTCCAAAAAAAGCGTGGCACGCGCAGCAAAAAAGTACATTCGAGCCCCACCCCAGCTTGATGCTCCATACCCCCTTCATGGAGCGCGGCGACTTTTCCTGGTTATATACTGCTATCATCAACACAATCCTAAATCTAAACCAGAGAAGCCAGCCTCGGATGCACCGGACAGCCAGCTCTAAGCAAACCTAAACCCTAGGAACCCTACTAAAAACCCTCAAAACCCTAAACCTAAACCCTAAAAAACGTAAACCTAAACCCCAAAAACCTTTAACCTAAACCCTAAAATAACCCTTAAAACCCTGAAAACCCTGAAAACCCTAAACCTAAACCCTAAAAACCCTCAACCTCAACCCTAACAACCCTAAACCTAAGCCCTAACTACCCTAAACCCTAAAACACATAAACATGAACCCTAAAAACCTTAAACCTAAATCCTAAAATCATACAGCATAATAAGACCTTGCGGGCGCCACGTATGTTTTGTGGGTAAACTATAAGCTGCTTGATGAACGGACTGTCGAACTATTTGGCTAATTAACTATCTAGTCAACTGCCGGCCTAGCTGACTAACTCCCTCGCTAAATTGATACCTCACGTACGAACCGGGAAGCACTAAGACTCAGGGGGGCACTAGTTGAATGCCGAGCAAGGCTTCTTGCCATCGAGAAAACAAGCAGAAGGAGGAGGGCGCCATGATGATTATGTTTGCCTGAGATTGGCATCGGTGCAAGTGCTTCAACGTTTTCCATATGATTTGGCAGTTTTGGGAGATCAATGGCTGGGACACCTCAAGAGGCGACCTTCAGAGCCCATAGCCCAAAAACTGAACGATGCCAAGAGGCGAGCCGTTTGCTGGCGGTCGGCAAGACGGAGGCTGGTGTTTGCCTTTGCGTCCGCAGCGATTGTCCTTCCAAAGTCCAACGCCCAACACGGAGCTCAAAGACTTGACGGTCAATTTGTCGCTGCACCTTCTCGCCAAGCCCGGAAGGGCAATTGGTTGCTCCTAAGTTCTTTAAACGAAGGGGAACTGGCAGATGCTGACAACACAACTTCTCCAGTTTACTTGAAGCTGCTGCTTTAGATGTTTCGAAGGGGTTTGAGCACTAGTTGAATCATTTGATTCATTTGCCTTGAACATTAAATAAAGATCCAGCCCTCCGTTGATTTCCTTTGTTTGAAAACGGGACACAAAACCTGGAACCACGGGATATTTCACTCGGGGGCTTAAGGATCTTTGCCAAGCATGGGGGGTTCCATGGGCGTTTGCCCTCCCGAATTTGCAGTCCCACACTTGGGGAGTTTGTCCCGTTTAACGGTATTTTGTTGGTTTTGTTGGCCGAAGGGAGGCGTTGAGGCCATGGAGATGGGAAGAGGTTCTTTTGGCGTTCTTCAGTCAGGTAGAGGCCGCCGCCGCCTGGGGCAGCGCCGTGATCGCAGGCTGGCTGACTCTCGGAGTGCAAGGCTCGCGCTGCGAAGCCGTCGGTCGGGCAGTGGCTAGCTATGCTCAACCCGGGTCAGGTCGGCCAGCACGGCTTGAAGGTGTCGTGCAGGCCCGGGGGTGTTGCGGAACCCAAGGACCTTGCGGTCGGACCCAGCCTGCGCCTAGCAGATCCACGCACCCACGCACACACAGGCCCATGAGAAGCCAACCCGGCCCAAAAACGCTGCCAGAGCCGATGCGACTCTTCAGAGCCCGCCTTTGAGTTTCTAACTTGAAGCTTGCGTTGGCGCATCCAGTTGCAAAGCCAACCCTGCTCTCCAGTCACCGCCACTTGACGGATTTCGAACTGTCATCCCCTCACTGCCAAGTTGCCGGGCCTCGCAGTTTTCGTTTGAGGCCGTCGTTACCTGACTTGCCAAGCTCTCGACGGCTCGACTGCTTAAAGTAGCCCAACGTACTGGCCCAAGCCGCCTGAGCAGACCTCCATGCGGCACTCGTCCAAGGATGGGCTCTACCAGCCACTTGCTGGGCCATGTGCTGCGCAGCTGGAAGGCGCAGGCGCAGCCGAACCGACACGCGGTTGGCTTTGGCCTTGAGTGGGGGTTGACATGTTTCGCTTTCCCGCTTCCTCAATAGTGACAAGCGGGAACACGGGGTCATGTGGTTCATTTCATGTGGTTTCATTTCATCATGTGGTTCATTTCATTTGTCGAGGGCAGGTTGCTGAGGCGGTGGACATCAGAAACAATCCGAGTTGGTCAGACGCTATTGGGTGGTGACTTGAGACAGCTCCTTTGGCTGGCCTTGACTGGCTTCAAAAAGGGCTCACACCCACTGATTGGGCCTAGTTCACCATTTGCTCATTCCAGATGAGACTTTTTTGGGGCTCATTGCCACTCCTTCGGTCCTTAAAGGCGGTCTGGCTTATGCTGGTTCGATGAGGGTTGGTTGTGGGAGGCTTGCTTTGCAGTGGGTGGGTTTGCTTGCAGGTGGGTCAGGGATGTCTCAACCGGGTCTGGCTTGTTTCGAGCTGGTCTTTTGGTGTTGGACTTGTTTGGGCAGGTTTAGGGCGGGCTTTGGGTTGGTTTAGGTTTGGTGTTTTCGTTGGACAGCTGAGGGTGGCTTTGGGTTTAGAGCACCTCGGATTCCATGCCATCGGGCCATATTTGACTCCTGGCCCCACAACTGATAGGTTCAATTTCATGCCCCCTGCGGGAAATTGACACATATGTTTTTTTTACATAAGCTTCCTTTTCGAGTCCCTCCCCATGGCTGGGCATGGCATGCGGGCATGCGGGGTTCTTTCGTGCGGATTTAGGATGTCTTAAACAAAGTCTGTTGATCGCTGACACTCACTCTTTTACGAGGTGGCTTGTTGGAGGTCTTGGCCCGGGCAGCCAGGATACGGTGCAAGTCGTCGAGATTGAGAACGGGGGGATCATCCAAAAGGCGCCGAGATGGGGCGGTCATTGGCAGTGTCCTGACTTATCTGATTTGATTACCAGCTGAGTCGGCTTCCAGATTTTCTGGTCACACCAGAATTAATCGTTTGTTCTGCCTACTGTTTACTCATTGATGTCAATGTGTTTCTCATTCCGGCCCTGTTGCTAGATGCTTCACGCGCCTGTGCTAGCCAGCCTAGTTGATTGGTTCCCAGACGAATTCTTACACCTCTTCTGCGGGCTAGCTGCCAGATGCTGCGCGATCCCTTGGCGGTGTAGGGGTCAGTTCATCCAATCCAGCTGAGTTTGCTCAACAGCTTCACTTGTCTCCCTCAGCTTCTCCGGCAGTCAGCTGCCTGCTCGCCTCTTGGGCCCATGATGCTCCCCGCAATGTTGCAGCAATGTAGCAACATTCACTGCACTGCCTATCGTTTTGACAGTGCTTGTGCCATCGCAATGCTTTCTGCGGCAAGCTTGGTTCACTTGGGCTTGCAGACGCGGGTGGTGGTTTTACAAACACGCGATTTTAGCAGAGCAGCCAGGCCCGCTAGCACGTTCCACAACTCAGACACCTCACGTGTTCGGCACGTTGGATTGCTGAGTTCCCCGCGTGCCGCGGCAAGCTGAATTGGAGTCCCATGAGAGATCTGCGGTCCTGGGGGGGTGCTTGGGATCGATTCGCCTTTTTTCCTAGCGTGTGCGAATTGGCCTGCGCAGGACTCTGGCGAGAAGGAGCAAGTCAGAGCGGCCTGGTTTGCACTTGAACATCGGAGGTCACCTATTTGTTTTGGCGTTCTGGGGCGTGGGAAGGTGCATGGGGTCCGTGGCTTGCGGAGACGCATTTGCGACCGCTTGTTGTGGGAGGAAGCACGCAGCTTTGGACCTTCATGCAGTGTTGGCTATGCCCTTGGGGAAATATCCGTTTTGTTGCCAACTGTTGGTTTTGAGCCACCCAAAGGGCAACGGGGCGAAGGGGCGCTCGAGAAGGTGTGCAAGTGGACGCTTGTACCATGTGCAGCGGTCAGCGAGTCTTGCCTGTTTCTTTTGTGGGTTTCCTGAGAAGACGACCGATGGTGGCTGCAAAACGTGCTTGTAAACATGGCCAGGGATTCGTCAATCGCAGAGGTTTTGGGTACAACAAGGCCCCTCGACGCTCAGACCCTGTATGTTTTCTGATTCGATTTGTCGGCGTCGCTGACATTAGGAGTCAGCAGTTCTTCTTTGTTTTGCGCCACAAAGCTGTGCCGAGGCATCCAACTGGCAAGTGGCCACACCGCTTCTCTTTGGAGACGCATGGCGTTGGCGAAGAGTATGCTGTTTTTTTGCCGAAAAGGGGCGTCATTCCCTAGATCAGCTTGTTGTTTGCCAGATGCCCCTTTGTCGCTTCCCAAGCAACACGCTGTTGAACTAAAGCAAGGTTCTGCTGGAAGAAAGGTACCCCCCACTCAGTGAGGAAACATAAGGATGTCGTCAGAGGTAGATGTTGTTTTCTTTTGTGTCCTATTTGCGCAAGAGAGCGTCAAAGTAGTTTGAGCCGTTGTTCCCTCTGTTGGCCGAGTGTGGATTGTTGTTCCGACGCCTAAATATGCAGTGGCTGGTGCGCATTGTTGCTTAGCTTGCATTGCAACCGTGGCTGGGCACTTTTCTTGGATGAAGATGTCATGTCCAGGGTTCTGCGTCAGAATTGGTCGTGAATTCAATTCAAGATTGGTTGCGCTTGGAAATCTATGGCGTGCGTACGCCTGCCAAACACCTGTATAGTATTTTGCTTCTCGAAATTTGCACACACGTTCGTGTTCAAATACGGGTCTTCTTGCCTAGTGCAGCAGGGCTCTGCAAACTTGATTGAGACTTAGACCGGAGCAATGTCCTGTCAATGGAAGTTCTGATCTTGCTGAAGCAGGCCTTTTGATGATGTTTTCGGCCCAGCTCTGTGACAGCTTGCCTCTGCCGCTGAGGATTTCTTCTGCAACCTCGCAGACGGTTTTGTCGTTGGGACCGCCTTCTTCGCATGTGACGCATCTTTCGCCATTTCCTCAGTTGCCTGGTTTGTTGACCTCGCATCAGTCGTTGATTGCTGTTTTTTGGTGTTTGTTGTCTGTTGTGCTTGCCCAAAACTTCGCGGTGTCGTCGTTGCTCGGTGCCGCTTAGAGTTTCATGTTCTGCGCGGCAGCAAGGCTTGTTTTTGAGCATGAACATGTTTTGTTGTTACTGTACTTCCTTGCTTGCCCGCGTCCCTTCCCTGACTTGGTCGTGAGGCCTGGAAAATCGTGGGCGTGATCATCCTCCACCAAACCCCGCAAGAGCTGGCGGACATCTACGTGATGATCAGCAAGGCCAGGGTTTCGGCATGAATCGGAAAGCAAGTTTGGTGAATTTATGTTTTTCCCCCTTTTTTCCGTTTGATCCATCGACCCTGGAGCATAGTGACAGGTCAACAGTGCATGACACCGCATGTTGCCTAGGCCAACTTCAGCTGGAAGAAGGCCACTCTGCAGCTCGGCGCTGAACTTCAGAACTTGGCAAACGTACGGAGAGGTGCGGGAGATCCCTTCAAAGTGTCTTCTGGTTTCTTCCCGGGGCCTTCCCAAAAAGCTTTGCGGGGGCTTTGTTTAGCTTCGTGGAGCTTTGCATTGCAGCCTTCCCCTTGCTTGCCGCCTGAGGTTGAACTTCCTTTGCAGCCTTTCTGCCTTGGTGGGTGCCTGCATCGCTTACAGCGTCCGGGTCAGCGTGGAATTACAGGGCGCTATCCTTGCCATAGGCGCGGGCAGGGCCAGCCTTTGATCCCAACATATTTGCTTGAAGACGTGTGCGCCATGGGAGCTCCAGTCGCGTGGGTCAGAAGGACAAGCAGAGGGTGATGGAAGTTCTTGGACCATGAGGAAGGGATGACTCATGTAAAGTATTTTCTGCGCCTGGCTGGTTCCTTCCAGCGTGTCAGCAGTCTGGCTAGTGCCACCCCACTGCTATGACTTGAACTGAATCGTGGCTATTTCCCTTCATGCCCAAGCCATCCTCAAGCATTGCGGCTTCGGAGGTGCCGGGGTCTTCCTCTTCGTGGCCTGCACAGAGCTGGGCCCCGCAGTGGTGGCGGCCCAGAAGGATGCTGCGAGGCCGCTGCTGAGCGGCCTGTGCACGCCGCTGAGCGCAGACGGTCCGCCATAGTCCGACCTCGCGGGGCCCGGGCGAAATCCGAAAGCTGGTGCCCAAGGCTAGGTACCGCGGAATAGTCCCATCAAGCATCCTTTGACCTTAGCGTACCTTAGCCTAGCTTAGCTCCATTGACAGTGGTCAGTAGGTTCAAGGGTCATTTCAAAGGCTTCAGGTTTTTTGGAGGACCAGCTACCTTAGCTTAACGGCAACCGCCGCGTAATGAAATAGATTGATGGTGGATGATGCTGGCTGAACAACGAGTGGCGCCCAAGCATCAACTTTTGATGCGTGGCTTGTGTGAATGTAAGTGGTTCTTGAAAAGCTGTGTAGGTGCAGCTAGCCTTGCAGAATTCGGACAACGGTCAGAAAAGGTGACTGTTGCCTCCTTCCAGAATCTTCATGATCCTGCTTGGCCATTGGACCTTTTTTGAGTTGCCCCGGCCCGACCAAATGGGCATCGCCTTTGTCCATATCCGGTGCTGGCCGAGGATGGCAACCTTCGTGCTCGCCGCGGTCTGCATTGGCCTTGTGCTCTTGGGCCACGAGCATTGCTCCGCTGCGGAGGGGTGTTCGGTCGAAACCAATCTGTGGCGAGGTGGATGTTTTTCGCCAGTGACGGGGAAGTTAACTGGTTGCCAGCGCTCTGGCAGGTGGCTGCTTCATACCTTGCGTAGACTAGCTGGGCTCTCCTGGTTTTTTCTTCAAGAAAAGGTCGGGTGGATGACCTTTGCCCGTTCATGCCAGAGCGGAGTGGTCCCATTTGCTAGGGTGAGCGGCCAGCATCCAAGTGTGTCATGTCGCGGAATTGTGTAGTGACTTTCCTCCCCAGATCATAGTTTTCTTTTAATCGGCATCCAGACCGGCCCCTCTTTGATACAAGGCCGCTGTTCCCCTTGTCGACAAACTCCTTGATGCTGCAGGTAGATCCGACCGATGAAAACTCATTTGCGTGGCGCGTCTGGCTCGCCAGGAGCTGGGCGGTGAAGCTGAAGCCGGATCCGGCCACGAAGGCCACGGGCATTGAGCCAGGCTCTCGCCACTGCGAGAGCACGCGCTGGGAGTGGCGTCCGTGTTCGAAGTTCTCTGTCCGAAACGGCTGTTTCAGATTTGGGGAATGGGTATCTCGGCATCAGAGCGGTCCAGGTCAAAGGTGAAGGCGTCGCAGAGTATCCATTCCATGGCTAGGCCGCGCGGTTTGTCGCGCTCACCTCTCCCATAATTTAAGCGTGCCTTGGGTACTCAGGAGGTGCAGCCTGTGGCTTATGTTTCTTGACTGTCCATGACTTGTTGCTACTCGATAGCGAAGCTTGTTTTACCTTTGTCGCGCTTTGACTTACTGTGCGAACAGCGCTGGTTGCCGGGGGCACGGCGAGTGCTCATGGCTGTCCCTTTCTATGTGTTTCGCTAGTGTTTCGCTCCTTGTCTTGTTTCTGTTTGTTTCTGTGCGCTTCTGTGTCTCTCGCAAGCACTGGGCGCTTGAGTGCGCGTGCGCTGTGCCTGCTTGTTGCGCCCGTTTGGATGCATCCGCTGCACTGCGCCTTGCAAAAGCCGCGCGCTTTGGAATGAAAGCCCGGGACCGCCACCTTTGTTTCTCAGGCTGCTCTGCGCTTCCGTTTGCTCTTGGCAAGCTGCGCTTGCCTTCCTTCTGCTGCATGCACGCAGCTCGGAGCTGCACGCTCACTCGCCTCATTCAGGGATTTCAGGGTCCGCTCGCTTGGGCTGGGCATGTGTAGCCGTGGCGAGGGGCCCGACTTGGCCTGCTTCCAGTCAGTGCGCGCTTGGCCGAGATGCAGGTCAACGCATTTGATGGATAGTTGCTTTCGCACTTGCTGCAAGCCTGCATATGGCGCAAGATGGTACGTGCCGCGCTTCGGCTCTCACATCTCCATGTGCTCGGGCCCTCTCGGCAACATCCTGCAGATGAAAGCGTTGTGCAAGGCGAAGGGGCTGCAGTTCCCGCCTGTGGTGGCTGAGGCTTACGAGAGTTGCGACCCGCGCACCGTGTCTCAGCCCCTCAGTGGCTTCCGCTATGCGTGTTGGGAGCCTGAGCGCTATGACGGCCGGTCGGAACCTCACTCCCGACGCTGTAACCCAAGTTTTGGCGAACTTGGCAGTCTGAGCCTCTGGCGGGGGGTCTAGGGCAGACCAGGTTGTGATTGTGCTTGCCCCGAATGCCGGCGCACTCAGTCCTTGCGAGCTCCCGTTTGCTTCTGCAACCAGCTTGGGGATAGCAAGGCACTCCAACAGAACGCCAGGCAGGCAATAAAGGGTCAAGCCACCATGCGTTGATATCTTTCGGGTCTCCCAGGCCCTGCAATGATGTGTTGGTCTCTAGACGAAGAAACT